TAACTTTACATTAATCTTAACAAGTGTTCCAATCATGCATTATTGCCGTCACATAAATTACACTTGTAATTCCAGTATTATTATACATTAGTAATCTGCATAAACGCGCACGTGTAAATGTAAATGGCCTTAATTGAAGTACGTCAAAGTGGCGATGCGTTTCCACGATGCGTCGGACCCGAGTCATGTTGGTTTTACTATATTTGCAGATCTCATTAGACGGTATATTTGTCAAACATTGACATTATCAATCGCGTGATGGCCTTGCTTGTACACCTTTCACCGGACGAGCTGGTAAAATAGCAAATATTTACCAAGCCTATCGAAGGCATGCTCTCCGAGTGTCTTGGGATTGTGTGTTGGAACATGCACTTTCATTTTCAGATGTTTTTTGGGAATCGATTCCTTCGAAGCTGATATAACAATTTTCCCGCGTAACAAAGTACTTTACTTGTAAGAGGATAAAGTTGTGCGTCAAGTATGCTCCGCGTGTTACGTGCTACTTGTTACTTGCTACCTGCTCGAAAGTAAATCTTACGCAAACAGTTATGGTACACAGTTAGGCGTTGTCGTTTCGATAGATAGGATTGCAATTGCACCGATACGACCTACTTCCCTAGTATACGTTTACCAAAAATACGCGTCGCGACGGTGTCGTATTTCGATTTTATAACGCAACTCTGGTTTCTCTTTACACGGTACATTGGTTACGAGTTGGAAAGCAAAATTACGATAGGATAACCGATGATGATATTACACTTGGATACAGAAAGAAAAGTTGTCGTGACCTTGCAACCTGCGTCCTGACAGAACTGAACAAATTCTTATCTAGCTAAAAATTTGCCAAGTGGTTTCCTATCGATTCCAGTTAAACAAATGCATCGCAAAATCTTGTTCCAACAGTTGATATAATTAATTAGCTGCATGGTAATTCGAGTAAGTCATTCAGTCTCGTAAATAACAGATACGTTATTAACGACCGTTATTTATCCCAACTTTTCTCTTTTTATGACTGCTCGTAAGAAAAGTAGTTCTCCTCGTATGTAAATAGTAGCAAAAAATTGCATTGCAATCGACGAATCATTTAGGTCAGCTTGTCACTGAACGAGAAAAAGCGGTGCGACAACTTTCCTGTTGTTTTTGCGGAAATAACATTGAACTATAATTACAATCAGAATTAGCTTGCGAGTTATGTAACGTCGCAATCGTACAACCACAACGATGTTGCATTTAGGTCAGAAACGGTTCGTCGAACTGTAGACGTTATCGAACCCTTAAACAAACCTAAGAAAAAAAGGAAAAAATATTTTTTTTTACAGACACGGCGAGGAGTGGTACAACTTCCGCAGCAAGGTGCAACAGGTAATGTTGCAACCGCGAACCGCAAGAATGTACATTTCAGCTATCGAGGAGGCGAGTTTGGCATTCCTTCAAAGGTTCGCCGTCTAATCTCGAGTTTCTCACATACCTTTCACTTTTTTCCCACTGTTTCCCGTTTATACAATTCCGCCCATGTCCTATTGCTAAATCAATCTCTTCCATTTTCTAGAATTACGAAAATACGAGACGCGAACGACGAAGTGCCTGACGATTTTCTCAACGAGATACACAAATGGTCCCTAGAGTGTAAGTAGAAGCCAGCAATTCACGAAACGAACTTTGTTGTAAATAGCTTTTTTTTTTTTTTTTTTGATTACGCGAGACCCTAATACATTCTGTGGGATTGGATATTCTGGAATGAACTTTTACAGCCATCGCACGCGTAACGTTGGACGTTCGACTAGGCTGCTTGGACGACGAGGCCAATGCAGAAACTCAAAAATTAATAGACGCCGTGACGACATTTTTCGTGAACGTGGGAATATTGGAACTGAAGATTCCTTTCTGGAAACTCTTCAACACGCCCACGTGGTTGGAATACGTGAACGCATTGGACACTATCGTCAGGTGAATTCAAACAGAATTCATACAGAATAAAGTGTACGTTATACAATGTAATATATAATATATAATGGTGTACAATTGTTTCTTAACTCTAGTACGACCTCAAAGTTCACCACTGCTGCTTTGTCGAGAATAAACGAAACATCGAATTCCGATAAAGAACCCTCACTTCTGGAAAGGATGTTGGCTATAGAAAACGACACCAAGTTGGCCACGATACTCTCTCTCGATCTTTTCCTCGTGGGAATTGATACTGTCAGTACTACATATATCGACGGTTGGAATTTAATATAGACGACTAAAAAAAATGTTTGACGACTTATGATTTTGTTTGCAGACTTCGAACGCGGTAGCGTCGGTTCTGTATCAATTAGCTTTACATCCAGACAAGCAAGACATCGCTTTCAACGAGGTCTGCGACGTACTTGGAAGCAAAGACACGCAGCTAGAAGGAAAGCACTTGGATCGGTTCAAGTATTTGAAGGCGTGCATTAAGGAGACTCTAAGGTTGTCTTTTTAGATACTAACAATCTGAGGCGTCGCGTCGGTTTTAACTGTTAATCCTTAATCTCTTTGTCGACGAGACGGTCGACTCGAGTCAGCGCAGTCTTGTAAAAATAACATAAACGATTTTCTCGTACAACACCTCATCTAATTCGACTCGTCTACGTACGGAGAATAATAATATTTATTAAATACTTGGTTGTTTCTTCTTGTTAGAATGTATCCAGTTGTCATTGGCAATGGACGATGCATGACCAAAGATACAGTAATCAGTGGATATCGCGTGCCCAAAGGCGTAAGAATCATTAATGATAATCTATTTATCCTTTTTTACATAAAATTTATTAACGAGCCAATTCTACATTCTGAGTCTATGGTCTGAACGTGTACGTGTGCCTACCAATAAGCTCCTGTCAACCACTACAAACACTTTCTCTCGCTTAAATGCGATACATTCTCTACAAAAAAATTCATTTAACGATCGCTTAGTTTGCCTAATCAATTGCAAATGATATTTGAGCTACTCGTGGTAGGCATCCCCGTCGAGTGCTTAAGAGCAAGTTCCTTTAACGACTGTATTGACTTAAGCAGGTACAGGTAGTCTTTCAACACTATGTAATAAGTAATCTCGACAAGTACTTTCCAAGGAGCAAAGAGTTCCTTCCCGAGAGATGGCTGCAAGCTGATGGCGTGCGTCACAACTTTGCGTCGCTTCCTTTCGGATACGGAAGGAGAATGTGTCTAGGCAGACGTTTCGCTGACCTCGAGATGCTGATCGTCATTAGCAAGGTAACGTACACATGCAAATTCATTCAAACGGAATATCTGAATCTTGTTATTGTCCATGACTACATACATCTATAATAAAAGATGTTTGAAACAGAGTTAAGATTACACGTCTAAGTATAGACAAGTTTCCTTTGTCGGTGTCATTGGATCGTTTGTAAATATGACTTTCTCTTGGCATGGAACCATGAATTAAACCAACTACACATTCGCTTTTCGCGTTTGTATGGTCTAGACTCTAGACTCTAGACTCTAGACTCTAGAGTGTTGCGGCCAGACTAAACTAATTATTATAATTTTAGATTGGCGAATCTAGACGCGAGGTCTCGGACTGAAAATTAAAATAAAGCACATTGAGAGGGAAATTTATGCGGTGACATTTTGTTTCGCAAACTCGGAGAATATTGATCAACCAAATCGGATACTTTTTTACGAGTTTAGTTTAGTTTAGTTTAGTTTAGTTTAGTTTAGTTTAGTTTTTGGATGGTCGAAATGGTCGAAATACTCGAAACTGCTGTTCTCTGTGACAACAAACAAGATTTTTAAAAGGGGAACGTCGTTACATCGGGTAGAATTTCTCCCCGTTCCGAGAATGGTTTAATAACTAGGTGTAATTTGGCGGCGCACCTCGTGTAACCAGTAACGAGGCAAGGAAAGAGAAACCAAACCGTCGACCGTTTTGGAGTTTTATTACGGCTTTAGCCGATGGTTACCTTAGCTGGAGTCCCCGTTAGTTTGTCAGCGGTCACAGTGAATGCCCGCGAACAATAAACGTCCTTTCCAAGCCTCGGAATTTTCACTCTTTATTACAGGACACGGTATGGCTGCTTTGGGTGTCATTAATTTTGTTACTTAAACGTCGCTGTAATATCCGAGTGTAATATCGTATGTTCCCTCTACTCCAAGTTGGCGATTAAACATTTGTCTAAAGACCATTAAATGAATGTCTTTTTGTTCGCGTCGGCGTCGACTCGGCGATAATTTGTGTAATAGCATTTTACGTTTACGCGAGAAAATTAGACGCGTTAAAGAAGTAGGTCTCGGTATATGTACATGCTACATGGTGGTTTGGTAACCGATACACAGATAGAAACGTAGTAGAGTGTTTGTTTGTTTGTAAGACTAAGCATATTTTTGAACTATTATATTATATGTATAATATACATATACATATACATATATATATAAGTTCCTCTAGGGACAGCAGCTCCTAATTAACAAAACATTGGTCTGAACGATCACCTCGATATAACCTTTACCTGCAATTATTAACTCATTATCGAGTTAATAGCATATAGGGACTCGTCAGTATCCGATAAGTAATTGATCAATTTCAAATGAAAATTACTTGAGATTCTTTGACGCACAAGCGAATTATTTCAAAGGTATACGTTTAATGTCGTTTCCGTTATTTTCTATCCAAAGATTCGAGGATTCTGAAGAGGTAATAAAAATGGGAAACGTGTTGGAACGAGACCCCTAATAAATTCAGGGTTTCCTCGTGTTTAATTGCACGAGCTGTATTTCCCTACTGGAGAACTTGGTAATTCGAAAAATCCTGGGTTGTCCCAGGATTACCGATTGACCGTAGTATTTCCCCGTGAAGGACAGAGGCCTGGAAACTACCAAATCCTTCGACAAAGCTTTTAGTTGTATCTTATTATCGTTGATATTACTGTTACAGTTGCATAGATTTCTTAAAATTACTTTAGCAAATAGAATATATTTTTTACAGAAATAACAACGAGAATCTCAACATTGATGTTCAGAGAGACTAGTTAGGCAATATTCTTTATTATTTTTCTTACAAATAACTTTGATTGCTTAATAATAACAACAATGTTCTGTTTCAGATTTTACAGTGCTACAAGCTAGAATATCATTACGAGAAACTCGAGTATTACATCAATCCTATGTACACGCCCAAAGGACCTCTGAATTTGAGATTCGTCGATAGGTAGTGGATTTTCGAATCCTTACAACGCTAGTATACGCTCGTATCGTATACTCGTATTTTACATGTACATTGTACAGAAATAAAAAAAAGTAAACGGCCCGTTTTGTATTAATCTACAGATCTTTTTGAAAATATTCTTATACTTTCTTGTTTATTCGTTCTATTTTCAACAAACTTTTTTAAGTCCCGATTATCTCGGTACCAACTTGAACTTTAGTTCGCCATCAGGAGCATACATAAACGTCACTTTGTACTTTAGCGGTTCGTGATGGTATTCCAACTTGTAAGATCGTATCAGCTGAAAATTAACGAAGAAAGCATTAATATATTTATACGTATATGTATGTACGTACATGTACTCGTATACCGATGACACCGATAGTGTTGATACAAGTAGTTTTAGTTAAAGTTCACATACCTTTGCAAGCAGCACTTGCATCTCCAGATCAGCAAATCTTCTACCCAAACACACGCGCGCACCGTGACCAAAGGGCAAAGACGCAAAGGGATGCAGTATCTCGTTGGCAGATTGCTTGAGCCATCTCATTGGCTTGAATTCTTTGGCATTTGTTACGTATTCTTCCATGTTTCCTGTTACAACTGTTGGAAATACGACTTGCACCTGCGGTACGTAATATTTGTGGTAAATTTGTAAAAAAAATGTAAGAATCTGATGGCATAAGAAAAATATCGAGTACATTACTTACTCCTTTGGGGACTTTGTAGCCACAAATTATGGTGTCGTTTTGCAGCGTTCTACCGTTTCCGATAACCGTAGAATAAACTCTGAAACGTAACATTGTAAACAAGACGATACAATGATTCGAAATACATTTTTATCGATGCAGCTCGTAATTTCTTTTGTATATTTAAATCGGAATCGTTGTTATTTAACTGTGTTTCGTTAGTGAATCTATGTATTGTCATTAAGTGGTTGTACAAGTACGAGTTAGTTTGTACCTGAAAACTTCGCGGACGAAGGCTTTCATGTAAACCGCCTGGTCGAGATGGCTGGTAGTCAGAGGAACCGATGGATCCGGAATAATTTCAACGAGTTCTTGGTAAATTTTTTCCTGCTCCTCGGGCCTGGTCGCTAATTGATACAGTATCGAACAAACGGCCATCGAAATCTGCAACATAACGTTACAAATTACGTGTATTATTTCGTCCTTAATTACACGATCAATTACTTTTACTACCGTCACGTACCGTGTCTATTCCAACCAAGATTAAGTCTAAAGCGAGAATGTACGCCATTTTGGGATCAGTTTCTTTGGCTAAAATCCTTTCCACCAAAGACAAGTCAGATTCATCGACTGCCTCTTTAGTTTTCAGTCTTTCCATTGCCGCGTCAATGTATTTCATACACACCCTGGACAACGAAAATTTGATCGCAACTATACGCACTCGTGTTACACGGAATATCAGACAAAGATCTCCGATCTGTTAACGTTCGAAACGCAACTTACTCGATAAAGTAGTCCATGTTGCGTACGTATCTCGTCCAAAGAGGGGTGGGCACGTATCTCCAATAAGGAGCTTTCAATTCGAGGACAGCCACGTTTCTCAAAGCATACTTGGCCGCGTCGATGATCTTCTGAGGTTCTGAATCTGGAGTCAACGTACCACCCAAGCATCCCAATCTTACGTCGAGAGCAACTCGTCCTATACCTACGCAATCGAACGTTTCATTTTACTTGGTAGCAGGTGACAAGAAATGACAAGAAATTCAAATTAATACCGACACTCTAAAGCCCATTTGTGTATCTCGTTGTCGAAATCTCCTGGCAGCTCTCCATCTTCTCCTTTGATCTCTTCGATCCTTGAAAAGTGATTCGTTGCTTTACTACGATAGAAATTCTTACGGAAAGATTTTACTGTTGTGCTAGGGTGGCTTCGATAGGTATTATTTTGAATGTTGTACGTTGCGAGTAAGAGCGATGGAAGAACAATCAAAGGAAACATCGTGTACGAAGGGATTTCAGCGAAATGCTGAAACCTCGGGAGACCAAAGTTCGGTTAAAATATCTCCAAGGTCCAAGGTCATCGATAATTACCTCTTTATGAAATCACAGGTGACCACCTCGATGGGACCCGTGTACTTTCTAACCGTCTGAGGTTGGAGAACTGGTTTCTGGACACGTGTACGAAACTCCCGCCAAGGTTCGCCGTGTCTAAAATATTTAAATAATTCTTTATGTCATTAGTGATTCACGCGTCGCCTCTTTCGATTCAGGCAAAGAGGGTTTCGTTTATGACGCGTTTGCGAGTCGAGAAGGACGACTCGATAACACCATCTAAATATACATGTATATGGAATTCACGCTATGTAGGAAAACGAAGGTGACACGATGGACGTTTCACGCGAAAAGTATGGTTGGAAATCAAAATTTAACGTAAAAGTATCTCGAGACTCTGGCTGATTATTTATTTACTTACACTCCAACAACGCCAGGTAAATACCCAAAGAAATCTTTCCTGACGACGCTCTTGTAATGCACCAAGCACGGCATCGACGGCCTGAAAGGTGTCGGTCCTTCCTGTCTGTAGATCTTTTCGATTTCGTCGGCATCGTACACGAACAACAGATCCGGTCGACCTATTAACCCAGTCAAACGAACGATTTTACCGTACTCGTCGTAAAACATTTGCGACACTTTGGCCGTGTCAGAGATTTGGTATTGGCCGATTAGAGGGAACAGGCGCCAGGTATTGCCGAGGATCGGAATCGGTTTTGGTCCTGGTATCTCCTCGTACGGCCTAGCGTGGATCGCAGTCTCGTGATTCGCGGTGCAATCCCTCGACGAGGTCACTGCACTTGCGCCTAACACACAAGAATACACGTTGCTGTAAAACGCGTTCCGCATTCGAGATCGAGTTTGTACACGAATCGTACTCGACTTTGCAGATTTTAATGTAGCTGTTCCGTGGATTTATTTCATCTTGGATCGAATATACATGTATAGTATGTAAATCATACCAGCCTATTTCTTAACCCTGCTAACAATTTACTATGTTATAAAAACCGAAATTATAAAGCATTTTAAAAAGAAACACAACAATTATTTACCGTGCCTGATCCGTTAACGATTCTATTTCGTCTCTTACTCAACCGCGATTAGAGTATCACGTGCCTGTAGACAAATTCAGGACAACAAACGAAACGTCGCGAACGAAAGGAATCCTGTACGCTCGACACGTGATTGCCATTTAAGTGCATATAAATTTGCACGATTCGCAGCGAAAATTTAACGCAAGTACCGTTCATGTTTGCACGATAACAGATGATAATTTCCGAAGATCCGTTTAACGCTCGACAAAGTCGCTGTATGCGCGTACACGCGTTGAATAAATTAAAACGCGTGATTCTACTATTCTAACTAAATGCAGCGATGCTTTTATCGAGTGTTTACTTCGCACAGTATGTTCAAGCTTTGAATAGCGACCAAGTTACCGAAATCGGCTCATTTTCTAATCGAACCACTTTCTTTCACGCGATACTTGAACGAATATACACGTTAAACAAACTATAGTAATTTTGTTAGTTATTACCCGAGCACAGAGCTCGTCGAAGGGCGTCCTGTCCTCGCCAGAGTCGACATTTCGCGACGTACTGCATCTGCCGATTCATCCTAAAAATGTACGATAGAATGTATTACGAAACATTTGGGCGTTTTTAAATGAGACGTTGGTCAACAGGTTTGAGAAATGACATAAGTGGTTTCATAATTTCGTCGACCAGGTGACGATCAAACGACAGGAATAGAATTCGTAAATAAAATTTTGCTCCTTCTCGCTTTTGCTAACCGATAACGTTCTATTACACCATAAATACAAGCTACGATAGTTTGAAAGATATTTTTCTCTTTCGTCACTTTTAGTCATTCGATTACTCTACCGCACTTTCTTTTCAATTCTTTCGTGTATTATTCGTCAAACTGTACAGGTACGCTCAAGCATGCCACAATTTCTCTCGCACAGCCTACATTCCCTGTATATTCCCTTCCATTTTCTTCGTGTCAATATCTACAGCGGGTCAGAATAGTTTACGTATACGTGCTCGCACAATCAAGAGGGTCGATATAGTTCCCCCCGCGCCAAGCTATTACTATACACAATATAAAGATTTTCTGAATTTCCTTCGACATCGCGTCTACGTCCCCAAACACTCCGTTTGTTTAATAACGTAGGCTCCAGTCGCCAATTATTATCCCCGTCATCCCTCTACCTACTATTTAATTCCTGTGATTATGGCCCCCGCGGTACCCTTACCTGAAATAAGCTGGAGACCTTTCCTCCTCTTCGTTTCCAACGCCTTTTAGTGGTCCCGTTATCGAGGGATACGGCTCACCGTAGGCGTAGGTAGCAATAATAAATTATACTCGATTGCGTTACCATTCTAAACGGCACTAACGGCCCCCAGGTACGAGAAGGTCGCGCGTCTTTAGCACCTGCCACCGAAGGGCGAGCTGCGCATAGGTGACAAACAAAGACCACGGATGCAACCAGGAGGTGGTGATGCACTCTTTCAACGAGTCCCGTCGTAAATGGTAGCATGTAGTATCGTCAGCGTGGCAAACTCCCCACTTTCGACAAGTATCTCCCTCCAACGGGTTAACGTTAACGGTTCGAATTCTCTGCACCGCGATGCTACACCTGAACCTCGACGAGTCACCGTCGTTCTTCGTCCAATATAGTAAGAGGAACTTTCACGCTGGCTACTTGCTCGAGTTTAATTTTCACTCCACTTTCTTATCCAACCGAATACATATCAGCGAAGAACGTTTACGCGATGAATACGAGCATTTTTCCTCTAATAACTGATCGAATTGCTCCAACACTCGATTTATTATTGTTCGATTGGTCAATGTGTTTACATACAATCAGTCCCACAAGTATTCGTATCCTCGATATCTATTCAACCAAGAGTCTACGACATAGATTTAGATTAAGAATAATTACAAACTCTACGCGCGTTTAAAAAATGTATCGACTCACGTTCAAAGTAAATACCTAATATATGCATACACGGTTTGGTATGCGTTTATACATATTGTACAACGTCTATTTCGAGCGTATTTAAATATTTATTTTAGGATCAGCGACAGCAGAAATATCCGCAATAAATCATCGAGGCTTTCGTCGGCGTCGATAACCAGGTAGATACTCTCGAGGATTTATTGTCTTTGACATCGCTGACCGTTTTCTGCAAGAGCCAGATCGACCGTGATTATCCTCCTAACACCGTGGTTTCTTCCTTCCTGTAATTATTCGAATAGTTTCTCTATGCTTCTCGAATTTTCTTGAAATTTTTTGAAATAAACCTCTCTTAACTGTTGGCGGACCAACGCGTCGATGGACTGCCAAGTTGGACTATTTTTCACAAACAGATCGTACGATGCCTTTCTTATCATAATTTAAATGACGAAATGGGAAGAATTTTGTAAATAGGATTATTTTCAGGGTTCTCAAATTATCTAGGAGGAGTACTAGTAGGAGTTTCATCAATTTATTCGTCTACCGTGTCAATTTATTATGTATAATAAATATCGAGTCATGTTTTAAATAGATCGTATTTCATAGTGTTGTTGAAACAGAAATTCTACCGTATTACTGTTTCGATGTTATATTTGAATTTAATTAGTGGTTTATTGACATTTCAACGATTGTACGTAACTATTATATTATTACAATGCATTAAATATGCTCGTAGTTGTTGGAGTTGGCAAGAATTGTCAGGGTTGGGGTGGGTTGGGCGCCACTCGGTACCCTAGAGTAGGGGTAGTCGTCCAGCGCGAATATATAAGGAGGCTCGCAGGGGTTGAAGGACCATTTACAGTAAACAAGTTGACGCGAAACATAGTCGTTCGCGAAACGTATCGGTACCAATGCGATCCGTGTATTAATTTCTTCTTCCATTGGTTACGCGACTGATCGAAAGTCTGGCAAACACGCGTTTCAATTGAAATCGTTCGTTCGAGGTTTAATCAATTCAATTTCAACACAGTTTCTCAGTTCCAAGCAGTGTTTTAGTTATCTATATATATATATATATATATTTATATAAAAATGGCTGTGTCGACAATGTGGATTAAAAACAACATGCTCTTCTCACCAGGCCAAAGCGTGAGTATTAAATTGAATAATTTTAGATAATTAACCATAGTGCTTCCAATTCGAAACTTTCCACACGTGTTTGTAAATAGAATAAAAAAGTTTGTCGAGTAGAAAATAAATAGTTTGAGAACTGTAGTAAATTCGAGACTAAAATTTATGAATAATTAGTCGTATGTATTCTGTTTGTTTCTTGAGATCAGAATTAACGTACTTTGAACTGGGAGAAGAATATAGATATTAAATTGAAGTTGCAATTCTTATTACTTTGGTAAGCAAATTTAAAATTGACGTAAAAATCCTAATGTTTGTATCGATAAATGAATACAGTCACATACATACGTTGGTACATTAAGCGTCGCTAGATTGGCTGGTCGGGTACACAAACGTTTGCTGAAGGGCAATGTTCTTATAAATAACGACAAATAACACACGAACATCGCGATGCGCGCCGTGACACGGTGTACACCGAGATTCTATGATATGTTAAATAATGGTTTAATTTTTCATTAAACAGGACAGACAACTGACAGAAGCTGAACTAAAAGTTCAACGATCCTTGCAGAGGCTTTCTATCCCAGATTGGTACTTGAACAAGCGTTCAAATCCACCAAGGATACTGAATGTCACCCCTATCGAGTGTCGTCTACCGTTCTGGAAAAGTTTCGAATCCAACAAGGATTCCACGATGAACTCGACTTTGTCAAACCTATCAGGTATTGTATTGCAAACATTTGATTTCATTTGAATTTTGAATCGTCGATCCTCTATCCATACATAGCGCGTGTATCGCATTAGACGCAAGTACCTAACGCGAGTCTGACATTCAGTTTCAGACAATTTCTCGCAAACAAAGTCACCGAAAACCAGCAAAACCAGCAACAGTTCCAACATTGCTCGGCAACAAAAGTCTCCAGAAGCAAGACACAGCAAGTCACCGTTCAAGAGTTCAGAGCAGCCTTTCGACACCACGATCCCCGACGTCCATCTTCCGATCAACGTCAGCAAAACTCTGCCGAAAATGTCGCCCTCGAGAAAGGTGCAAAACATAAACATCGTTCTCCCACTTGGTCCACCGATAGAGATTCCCGACGATCTGGAAACAGACATCTCCGAGGCCAGGTACAACAAGTTTTTGCTGAGGAAGCAGCAGTTCGAGGCCATAAAGAGGAATTATCAAGAGTCTATAAAACGCTACAACGAATCCGTCAGGAGCTACAATGACTTTACCAAAAGTTGCAACTGTGGCAACTCGAAGAGGAGTGGTGACGACGATTCTACCAACAACGACACCGATTCTACCAAGAATAACAAGAGTACCCAAAAGACGGCAACGAACAGCTCCAGAAACGATAGTCTTTTTCTACCTTTGGAAATGACCGAGCAGCAGAACCCTGTCACTCCTAAACCGAGATGTTTCAGGGTGCGAGCCACCTCCACCCCCAAGTTCACTCCAGCCAATCTCTTCTCCTCGACCATCATCGAAGAGAGTCCCAAAACGAAGAAGACACCCTGCCGCAGCATCCTCGAGAAATCCTCCATCTTCGAGAGGAACTGTTTGTCGAGTAGCACGGAGCCGCCAGGTGACGCGGCCAAGTCGAAGACGAAGAAGCTGTCGGATAGTCTGCTCGAGAAGGCATCGATCTTCGAAAGTCAGCTCTCCTCCAGTTCCATGGACGCGTCCAACAAGCCTGATCCGCCGAGCCAACGTCTGGACAAGAACATCAACTCGACCGACTCGATTCTCTTGGAGAACGACGACTCCACTCTGTCGGAGAGACCATCCATGGTTCGCGATCTGGTGAAGAGGCTGGAGGTCTCCCTGAACGGCCTTTGCAGCCCAGAAGAGAAATCGAAATCGAAATCAAAGCTAACCTGGAAAACCAGACGCTCCCTGCCAGAGACCAAGTCCCAGGAGATAAAGACTCCCGTGGCAGCGCAGAGAAGGATCAGCCTCGACTCGAGGAACCAGTCAAATGTTCAACCAAGGAACGCAAACGTTGATTTTCGATCGCCTTGCACGAGGTTCCTCAGCTCGAACCAGAAATCCACAGCCCTGGAGAAGATCGTAAAGAGCAAGCAGCCTTCCAGGGACAAGAGCGCCGTACGCGAGATAATCGAAATGTTGACGGAGAAGCTGAGAGAGTCGTCGTCCTCGCGACAAAACGGACCCGTGGAAATGAATCATAGGTTCGTGAAGAAAGTGGTGGATATCCTGGAGAAAGGTGGAGACTTGTCTGTTGTCGAGGAGACGAGCAACGAGAGGAAGCCCGATGTCCTCGAGAGCTGCAGCGAGTCGGACAAGTCGTCCGTCGCGTCGTCCTCGTCGAAAGAGACAGACAGCAGCAGCGACTCCGATCAGAGATCATCGAGAACCGACAGAACGTTCAGCTATGGGACTATGGAGACGAGCAAGTCGATGGACGAGCAGAAGACGCGGCAACAGGAGGATTCCGTTTACTGGATACCCGTATCCAGATGCAAATTGCCCAGGACCAGTTCCTTGTTGAGCCTGACGTCCAAGTTGTCAGCCACGGGACAATCTCCTTGCGTCAGTCCAATCAGGAGCGAAAGCGAGGCAGGAGACCGGCTTGCTCCGTGGGGTGCCACCTACGGAAGGACGAATGCCCTCTCCAGGAAGCTGTTCAGGATCGACGAAACCATAGTGATCGACTCTGGCTACTCCGACAGGTCCGACAAGTCGACTGGTGGATGCTCGTTAACGGACAGCACTTGGTCAGCCGAGGATTCCTGCGAGGAGATGAGATCTACTCGAGTCAAGAGGTCCTCCTCCAGGCGTAAGTCGATCGCTGGCCATACTTTTCGTGTTCATGCTTGACTATGGTGAACGGATATAGGAAACGGTGTCAGGGAAACTGTATTCCAGGTTTACGGAGATTTCTGTAAGTAGTGAGAGAAATAATGCTTTAATAAAGTTAATTAGACGGCTTAGACGAAAATTAATTTGGAATTTTGCTCGTGTTTTTGTACGAATAAGTGTCGGCATCGGTGAAAATAGGTACAAGTCGAAATGATCGTGGTCCGTAAACGTCCAATTAAACGAGCGTTCGCGAGGTTATCTCTACCCAATTCTGCCGAGGAAGCATCAATTGGAGATCGAGTTTCGATCCAAGCTTCAAAGCGCTTGAATTGCTAAGATTTTAAACTGTAACGAATGTAATATACATAGTCGTAGGCTGTAGAAAAGGTCCCAGAGTTCCCATTGCTCTGTTGAAACTCTGGGGAATCATTTGTGAACGCGAAAATATTTTTTTCTAATCTTTCAAGAATTCGAAAAGCCCCTCGTTCTCTTTTATCGAACTCGAAACTCTTGCGTTAGCCATTGTAATTGTTTAATTAATTATACAATACATCGATTTGAACAAATAATGGGAAAATTCGCGTTGGATTGCGACCAACGCAAGTTCCTCCTGAACAATGTTTCCTTTGAACAAATTCTCAACAATATTTCTGCGTTATAAGATTAGTATTGTTAATCGCGTTCTCAAGTAAAATTAGAAAATCACCATTCTATACTCGTACGTATATTATTCCGGCATCGTTATACATGAAATTTGTAGAATATGCGAATCTAGTTTGAGCAATCGATGTTAATTAACGGTACGTTAATTTTCAATTTTCACAATCAGAATAGCTGCAGCGTGGATTTTTAATGTAAGCTTATGGTACCGTATGCGATGTCAAAATTGCTGTTTGTTTCAAGTATGTTAAGAGTGACAATGAGCGATGAGTAACGAGTGACCCAAGGCTTGTAACTTGTAGCCTCTCTATTGTAAGCGTATAGCGTGCATCATACATAGATACATGATGTGTTTGCAGATCGAGAGTAGAGAGAGTAGAAGCGTATCATGAATGTATTGGTGTCTGAACGTATTTATTAATAATGTTGTTACAAACAAACTAATTCTCTGTTTAACGATTTTTAGTTTAACTTAAATTTCTAACTACTTATTGTTAGTGAATGTGATGCGTCAACAAACGCATCGTTCAAGTAAAACCTTTACGCGAAAAAGAAATTTTAATGATATAGTTGCATCTGCAAACGATACACTTATCGATACTGTAATTGTGATATGTAATTGTACAGAAAGCATCCAAGGAACGAAGAAATAAACAAATTCATTTCTAAACCAGATCTCGAAGCGAACATTAACATTATTTCGTCCAAATTCCCTGTCCGAAACGTTAGGTATTTTTCGAAATTGCCTCACTATCACAATTATAGCTTTTGCAACCGTTCATCGTGCTTGAACAAACTATTGTTGAAAGATGCGCCATACGTGTGTCGAATTGTTAATTAACATTTGAAATTCCAAACGTTCAACTGTTTTTCATGTAGCACGCGTATGGCGACAGACGGAATTCGTATGAATAAATGATCGTAGAGTTCGGTTTCATTCTTCTGTTCTTCTGTATTCATAAAATCGAATCGTGTGTCCGTAGACCGATGGAAAGTCTATAAAAAATGAATAAACATTGTTTAAATTTAGTTTTGGACTATTTTTAATACTTGGGTATAGTATGCGCATATTTATCGCAATTGAAATTTAAAGTTTTTTCGCTCAACAGAGTAGCCACCTAGCGGTAAGCAGCCCGAACTAATTTTCCAAGTTTGGTCAGCGCCTCTATCGGGAAAACGCTCAAGTTTATTGTCGATAGTTGTTCTTTTTAACGCTAGATGGAGTCATTTATCAAGTAACTGTCGGTAACCTCGAATCCAATGATAACTTACCCACTGAATCTGAGTATGTGGCGCCATCTAGTTGTAAAAATATCAACTATCGAGGACAAACTTGGGCGTTTTCCCGAGAGAGGCGCTGACCAAAATTCGAAAATTAGTTCGGGCTGCTTACCGCTAAGTGGCCAATCGGTTGAGCGAAACGTGGGGTTATTGTATAGCCAACACAAACATCTCTCTAGATTATTGACAATTCAGGGACTTTTATATCTATTCATTCTGTGGTGCGTGCAATACAGTATTCTGTCTGCATACATGTCAAAATTTCACGAATTTTATCTTGTTTAACCCTTGTGCGTAATTAATTTCTACCCATTTTCTTGTATTGTATCGCACTGAATTTTCGCGGACTATGCAGGACTTTCCCTATGTCTTGTCAGAATACGAGGAAATAAATTCTCTTCTTTACAAGCCTATCAATTCGACCCAACGAATTAAGGTATTTATTTTGAACAATGAAATTATTCTTATGTAACAATGGTGAATTTTACGATGCGATATTCATTTGTCACGATATTTACCATCTTTTTGTCAAGTACACTTTTCTTCTTCTATTGCCCTTAATCCATATAACGAAGAGTAACGGTCGACAGGGGTCCTTGGACCCCTGGATCAGATGGGGTAAACAATTTCTGTTTCCAAAGTCATAGGGTCGATGCTATTTTTTAATGCAACAGCATAGAGTAAACAAAAAGTTCTGCGTCTGTCTGTAGGAACCGTTGTGGCATTCAGATTCGATGCATTAACTTAGAATATAATTAAAATTTGAGTAATCCATCCTGACCAATTGTCCATTCTTTCCTTATTACTTTGCAGTACACATGCTTCGGTACATCTCCTAACTACGTCGTACTAGGTTCAACTAGTGGCAGTATTTACCTTTTCTCAAGGAAGCCATGCTCTTTTCTGCAATTAATACCTCTATCGGTATGAACATTTTTCATAATTTACTAAACCAAGTAAATAATTTAATACTAATGACTTTGTTACGATAGGAAGGAGCAGTTTCACGTGTCCTCGTATCACCCGATGAAAAAATAATTGCACTGACAACAACACGCAGAGTAGTTTGTTTGATATCTTTGAAACCAACACCCAAATTGATAGCCATATCAATGGAGCATATAAACGAACAAGTCAACTGCCTCTGTTGGAATGATAATAGTTCGGAAGTATACATAGGAGACTGCAATGGCAAAGTTTCGGTTATGACTTTGTCAATTTTTACGGTAAATAAAAATATCGAGACAAAAATATCTACTCTTATTGTTTATTTATACGTATATACATTGAAAATTAAATATCATATTCTAGGTGAATGGTATGTTTCAAGCACCAGCCTGCACGTTAATGAATTTGGATTCAGCTATCGTGCAGCTTAGTTTCTCTTCGCCGTTATTATTAGTGTCGACCTTAACACGCTGTTATATATGCGATACGGTACAAGAACAGTACAAGCAAGTTGGGAATAAAACGCGTAACGGAGAGTTCGGCGCTTGTTTCTACAAGACATACATTACAGAGACCATGAGTACGGCGAATATTCAAAAAGAAGAAAAATTAATCAATAGAAAACGTTCCTTTAATTTCATTCCCGAGGGCATCAGCAGCATACAAGAAGACAATTTTCCCAAAATGTTTTGCGCTCGGCCGGGTTCTAGACTCTGGGAAGTCTCTGCAAACGGTCTTGTAATAAAAACTCATCAGTTTAAAGAAGCGCTGGCTGTTCCACCTGTAACGACATGCAGACCAAACATGAAAAAATCCACCTACCAGAAGCAAATAGAACAATCCTGGACACCGCAATCCATTAACTTCTCACATTTGTTTGTCGTAGCTGAGAAATATTTATTTTCGTACACTTCCAGCGGTCTGTATATAGTCGATCCTGCGACTGCGACCGTGATACTCTGGAACAACGAATTTTCAAATATAAGTATGGCAGAGACTGTAGAGAACAGAATATATTTAATGACATCCGATGGAGAATTCCATTGTTTAATTCTGTGTTTCTTAGATTCTTTAATATTACGATTATACAATAGGAAAAAATACTCTGAATGTTTAGAGATATGTCTCTTGTATAAAGTACAACTGAAGACATTAATAAAAAGTACAGAGATTAATAAAATATGTGATGTTGAAAACAAGCTTGAGGTACTTAGAGACGACGAGTTGTCGACTTTGTTGCATCCCTTGACGCTACTCTTGGAATCCAATTCTAAAACGTGTCCAAAGAAATTAGATTCGGGTATCGTTGTCGTTAATTCTGGAAATTCAAACTTGAAAGAGGAGGAAAATTTTAGGTATAAATCTCATTGTTCCTCGCAAAACAACGAAAGTCCTTACGAAATCGAATCAACAACAGAGACTGACGCGGTGGTTCGCTCATCTAATGAATCGACTAATGAGGCAGAACAGGATGAAGATGGCAATTGCAATACAGCAAGTAAAATAGAAAATAACGATCAAGATTTATCAGAGAACAAAAAAGAGTTAGATTCAAACAAAAATGCGATGCAAAGTATACAAGCAGATTTGGAAGCTGTATACGTGTTAGTTGGGAATATTAGACTCTCTATGAACGAAGGGGAATTAGAGGCATTGATATCGGCCGTAGATAGGAGGATAAACGTTATCAAACATTCGTATGAAAGTTTAACCGATTTGAAAAGCTTCGTATATGAAATCGTAAGAAGCGCAGAATTATATTACTTCAATACTCTACTAGAGAATGTTCCGATACATCTAATCCAGTCGACTGATAATAAGTATATTATTAAACAAATAATGAAAGCTTTTGTTAATGTAAATGCGCAAACCTGCAGAAGGTGTACCTGTGGTAGTCCATGCCCGACAAACGAATTAGCAGAACCAAAGTTCCTGGGAATTGGTAGATCTCTTCTTAAAAGATTTGTAGTTGAAAATAAAGAGCACTGTATAAGCGTATGTAACAGAGTACCTTACATGTGGCGTGAATATTTACCAGTGCACGTGGAACAGCGCGATGTACCATTAAACGATTTGTTGCAACAGTGCCTTCAAATTAGAGACAATGTTGTACTTTCCATTCTTCTACCTTTATTGGATGGAAAACACTGGAACCTTGTAGCAACGTACGTGAAGCAGGGGAAGGAAGGACAGTGTCTATTTTGTGGCAAATCTATAAAGAATGGAAATAATGAAATATCGATACAATGGAGTACTGTGATACATGAAATTATGAAGAAACAGGGACCCGATATCGCTATGACGTTTCTAGTAAAGTTGGAGAAAGCTATACCAAACGTTCCTATCGACAAAAGGTACATTTTCTTATGATATTATATGGAATTATGAATACAAGATTGTGAAATAACCGATACGTATGTTTTGTAAATAAATCGTACCTTGTTACAGTATATTTCAATCCCTCGTATTCACAAAAATCTTATATCAGCATGGAATGAAACGTGTTGTTAATTTCAATAAGAATACTCTGGGTTCATCGGAATATAATACAATGTGTTCTACAAGGGTAATCGATTTTTAAATAGAACAAATGTTACACGTTACATTACAAATACAATAAGGAATGTATACATGTCGCTTGTTTGATAGATTCGTGATCAACTGGTGGA